AACCAACCAGAAGCGGTTGATCCCAATAGAACACGACTTTACGTACATTGTCATTATCACAAACACTGTGCACACATTAGTACATAGAACTACTGTAACATTGCATTGATCGTTTATTTTTATGCTATCGCCTGTTGTTTCATCTCGAGGCGCGAAAAATCGGGATGTTGCCTCAGCGAAGAGGTCACAAAAGACATGATAATGAGGACCAAGTCAGTTACGATGATAATCAAACAGCAGGAATCGTTCCTTAGATCATCCTCCAGAAATTGGTTATCCAAGTGAACATGTGAAATATTATACATTATTTCATACTTACTGAGATTTTCGGATAGAATCGACCGCATGAAAAACTCAGTCATACGAAAAATTTTTTCCGATCCAATCACAATCGCGAAACGTCTTTCTCACACGGGGGAAAAGCGTTTCATCCAATCAGAAATCAGCTGTCAAAATGAATCAGTCAGTTCACAACGCGTTCACGTTGCTGTTGGCTCCTCTTCAATCTTCATTCACAGAAGCTTGTAGAGTTTCCACAAGTTTACACTAGTTTTCTCGCAAATTAGCTATAAACCACAGATACTGGCGGAAAGCTCGAACAGGTTTATCGCTTTAGATAAAACCATTTAAAATTGCATCCAGGAACACCAGCACAAAAACACTCGGGCAAAAACCCGACGAGACGTTAAGGTTAGCTTGTTTAGCGAGTTCCTCGAACAGAAGGAAGAGGCCAGAAAAGTTTTAAAGAAGGCAAATATCCCCTAAGCATTATCGACGACAAAGAGCAAGAAAAATTCTGAACGCTCGAAGCAAACGACTGAAAAAAAGGCAAGGCAAACGAAGCAAATCAAACGCAGCTAAAGCGTTGACCGATGACGGAGTAAACACTCTGTACGAAAAATATTTACACTATAGGCTTTTGAAGAAGCGACCAAGCCGGAATAAAACATTACTTGACATTTGTTCTGCCAAATGAAAAAGCAATTAAATTTTATTAGAATGCTGAGCGTGAAAATCTCAGTAAGTATAAAATAAACAAATTAAAGCTTGGAAACTGCTTTAATGCACGGTATTTCCGAACTCGTTGGTTTTGCATTAGAAAACTCGCTCGTTCGTTTTCTGATACGTCAACAACTCGTGCGTAAATGCCGTACGCGCGCACTTTCCATGAAGTAATCTATACTTTCCAATATATGATATTGCCTAACCTTACGGGTACCTGTATATAACGAACTCTCAAAGTGATTACCTCCCAGTTGGATTGGTAGCCCAGTTGAAAGAGAAGTGCACCGGTATCGCAGATTTCTTTCTATTTTTTTTTCCAATTTTCAATTAGTCAATTCTGGATCGGAAACGTCTTTTAGTTGAATTCCTTTACTACATTGAAGCCTCTCTTTTAAATGTTAATGTGTTTCAAAAAGAAAATGCATTGAATATATGTATCAAAACATTTTGTCCTAATTAGAAGCTTTTTTTACAGTTCCGCCTCCTTTGATGCAGGGCTTGCAGACCTACCTTTCACGATATCGCCGGTTTGTAAAAGAATTGTCGTATCTATCGCAACTGTTTTTGTTCAATTTGAAATATACCTTGCTTGTTTGTCTGTTATTGGTGTTTTCTTGTTGCTGTACCATTCTGTATGAATTAATATTTACCGTGGAAGACCCTACAATACCATGCATCACCTCATTATACCACTTCTCGTGTTCACTTTTATACGAGCACCACCTGTTAGTCTACTCAGGCCATAGCCCGGCTTGATTTCCTCGTTGAATTTACCACAGCACCATAATCATGGCAACGATTCGATTTAGCAACCTTCACCAAGCACTCACCCCATCAACATATGGTAAGGACACGCTATCCATAACATTTGACATGTCTCTTTTTGTGCATTTATTTTGGTGAATGAAACCTCTTCATATCATGTACAAGATGAAGGTTTTTACAGTGTTGAAACACAAAATACTATCTTTTGTTATTATGAAGATCGCTCGTTATAGTCACCCCCAAAAAGATGTATGAAATAATGCCAGGTCATGGACATGATTCGAGTGTCAGTACATCATGGTAACACAACCCACTTCTGTTTTTGTTATAGGCTACGAAAGAAAACTTCAGCCAGAATCAGTCCATAACTTGTTTTCAACTTGTTTATTCACAGGCTCTGCTTAGCTCGGTTCTTGTGTCAGCTGACCCTGTGGAAACCCCGCTGAAAAATGCTGAACAGTTCATGTTGATCAAGGACTATCGTACATCTGCCATGCTATATACTGTGGCACTACGGTACCTCGAAGCTGATTCTTCCCCTGGATTGGTCGCCGCTATTCTATGCAAGCGAGCTGAATGTTTACTTCGCTTGGTTAGTATCTTTCTTCCTGGTTAAAGAACTTGAAACATGTTTGAGTTGACACTAAGTTAGTTTACTTTTGTGACCACGGCAATACACTTCACTTTCAGAGTTACGTACAGCACGTTTTACGAGATTGCAGAGATGGTGAGTATAGAACTGAAGATGAATAAAGCTTTTACTTTAATGTAAAACGTAAACAACGATTTTTACGTATACCACACAGCAGTCACAGATCAGGGGCGGAAAGAGGAGGATAGGAGAGTAGGTTTCCTGACGATCTGAACATGTTCACTGAGGAAACAGCAGTAGTGAGATGACATTTTTAGTCTTGTCTTTAAGAAGTGTAATACGGATTCCGGTTTCGGCAGACTTTTGTTGTTGTTGTAAGTTGATATTGCAACAGTTGTAATTTACTGCGGCGCAGACGCAAGTATTCATGACACTTGGTTGCATTTCTTTGGCATAATCCGATCAGTATCAGTGATCCAAGATAACTTGGATCATTAAAAAAGTGAGAAATCCAAACTGGTAGCAGGCTGGCCCGTTAGTTAGTTACAAAACGTGGAGGAGTTGAATTCGGGACAATGAATGCACCGGGCCTTCCAGACCATAATTTTATCCCTCTAACCACCAGTTGTTGTTTTCGTACGATGTTTACGAACAATTCGTTCTCTTGCTTGAAGCTAAGAGCAAAATCCCCCTTACCATTAGTTCTGGTTGCTGTATAGTAATATATTTGCTTACAATTCTTTCTGATGTTTTTAGCTAAGAGCAAACTGGGGAGTGACAACGAACACATAGCATTTCTATCTTCACAAGCTCTAGAGCTACAGGGAGAAGTACAGAAGGCTTTTATGCACGCCGTCATATACAAGTCTCTTGATCCTCGGGTATTTATCGAAAACGCAACATTTTATGTAAAATAACTACGTTGCGTCACAAACGTAAAACAAGACTTCGCATTGAGTAGGCTGAGGAAGTTCTTATGTGATAAAAGGAAACGGAGATGGTTACAATGTGGTGGGTTTGTTCATGACCATGTGTGCTCGTAGGTATTTGTTCGAATCGTATCCCACTTTTGGCAGGTCCCTCTTAACATTAGGAAAAATCCTGGTGTTTTATTATCAGTTAAGTTTCTCCAAATCAAAGGTGACCGCAATATACGCTATAAAGACTATAAATGAAATGGCAAACTCCTTAACTGTACACCTCCAAGTGATAGCGCACGTTTTAGGAGGAGAGGGGTAAGGCCATTCAATTTTTACGGCTGTCTTACTTAGCAACCTTTTGCATTCACTGCAGCTTGCCAGTGCGCGCTACTCTATCACAACTTCTTCAATCCATCCTTCTTAATAGTACAAGTTTTATTTTATAGATATCAAGAGACAAGGATATTATGAGAAGGTTAAGAATGAAAGTGAAGTGGTTGTGTGGCCAGGTATCTATCTTAATTGTACTGTCAGCCCATGATTTCATTGAAGCCCGCGTAAGATTATTTCATTACTTTGTAAAGCGTTCAAATAACTCTGAATTTGGGTAGTGTCCTGATTAACAAGTTATTTAGACAATTCCGTAACTGTAATCGTTCGAATGCTAATGGTCTTTCTCAGTGGCCTCGCCCAATTTTGGCAGTCCTCGGAATGTTCCTTTCATCCGATTCATTTCCAAGCACTTTTTTGTACAAAGGGTGCATTTTTTTATTTTTAACAGAGATGTGCATTTTAGTAATTCATTCAACTTTAAGTCTATTTTCAAAAATCAAAGGTACGCAAGATTTGAATTTCTTAAAAACATTTCATTGTCAGACTCGATCAGCTCTGAGATGTTAGATTGCTTTCTGAGGTGCTTTTCCCAAAATGCTGATTCACATTCTTCATTAATTTTCTCTTATTCTTTGTTACCAAAATTATTTCTATGTATATTGTTATATCATACATGTATTTGTTGTTTCTCGTGTTTTCTCTACGTCTTGGGATGCCTTTGAAATTCCTTACTGTTTTTTTTTTTTTTTTTCTTTCAGGCCTAATTAAAATGTTAATCCAAACAGTGTTTCTTTTGACCTTATTTTTAGGGATATCATCAAGTTCACAGCACTCTTGACGTCCTGATGACACAAGGCGAGCTGTCGCTCTCAGACTCTAAGACAAAGGTGGCCTTAGCCTTTTTCACAGAAGTTGTGAATCTTTTTCCAGAATTTCCGGATGCTCACGAATATCGAGCGAAATGCTTCTCCATTTTGGTAAGAATATAGCTATGTTGGCCAGCTGTTATGAAGAGAAGTTTGTGAGCGAATACTTAATCCTTGATTTCGGTAGTATGGATCTCTGGTCGATGGTAGCGCTTCTGTTATCGTTTTCGAACTCTTGATAATTTCTTTTTCTGCCGAGAGCTTAAAGAGTTATTTTGCCTTGTTACCTCTCTTGTTGGTCACACCCCTATAGTCTGTTGATGTGACCGCGTTCTTTACAAGTGCGGAACATATTCGCGAATTAGCTCCTTATTAGAACACCTTGGGAAGACTGTTGATGAGTGAATGGAAATATATGTTTTGCACTCATGGCTCATTTATATTCCACAGGGTGAGTTTCTTCAAGCTGAGCAGGACTGCAATAGAGGTATATTATTATTATTATTATTNTTTTTTTTTTTTGTTTTTTTGTGACAATACCATTGACTACATTCATTTCCTTCCAGATCGTGTAACCTGTCGTATTTGTTATAAACTTTGCTTTCGAATTAATAATCACAGGTCAGTTTTGCAAATTCTACTGAAAAAGTCTTGGCCTCCTACACTTCAATATACATATATCATTTTATGAAAAATGCAACTTGCGGCTTTTTTCATGCTCACTCAGATGACAGTATGGACATGAGCGAAACAGTTCCTGTTGGCTCGGGTGTCGCTTTAAAGTTAACGTAGTCCGCGAGCAGGCTCACGTTGGAGCACAAGCGCGCCTCCTTACTGCCGGATCGTTTTGCTCTTCACTACTCGCGCGCGTGACTCAAAGATGAGCCTGCTCGCAGGCTAAAGGTAACGTTACACCTCGTTTTACAACGTTTCACAGCGATAAAAGGCAAAAATTCAGCACCACTTTCAGTTTCTTTCAGTTTCCGTCGCCTCGAAATTTATTGAGAGTTTGAAGCAAAAATGAGCAAGAGTTATTTCGAAAACAGTTGAGACGTGTATATAAGTGACAGTACAAGTGTTGGCGGAAATGCGCCTGCGCAGTGCGTTTGACCGCTGTAGAACGTCAGTAACTGAGAATTGGCGGCTCAGCCTGCGAGCAGGCTCTTTGCGATTAAAGAAATAAGGAAAGGAAAAAGCGAAGAAGAGCCTTAACCTTTATTTAAACACACAACACCTACGTGTGTACTGGTAGGAAATATAAAATAATAAATATTATCAATTCGTAAACGCCAAGCAAATACTAACTAGTAGTTAGTATTTAGAGAGGCTAAAAAAATTATTATTGATATTTACAATAGTATATACAGGCGCTATTTTAAAAATCTTGAAGTAACACTATATACAAAATTTAAAACTTTAAAAAGCACGCTTTAAGGCATATGAACTTTAAGAGTTCGCTTAAAAGATAAAATGTCTTTCGATTCTCTAACCATTAGAGGCAACGCATTCCAAAGTTTACTGACTAAAGATGTAAAAGATCGATGCATGCACTCCAAATTGAATGGAGGAAGTTCAAGCCTTGTGCTGAACCCACGTAAATCGTATGTACCACCATAAAATTAAAAAAAAATTAATAATATAGGGTGCTCCACTGTCGTACAAGCACTTGTGCAACATAACTTGTGATTGAAATTGCCTACGTTGTTCCAAAGACATCATCTCAGCTATTTTTAGTAGGTTGTCGTATGACACAGACTTCGGATTCACCCATTTCTTTCCAGACCTTATTGCCAGCGTTGTCATTATCTTTTTTTTCCTTTTGCAGCTCTCAATTTGACGCAACGCACAAGTGCGGCAGCATTTGATACAAAAATAAAAATCAAGATCCGGCAGGGAGAGTTTGCGGAGGCTCTGGAATTAGTGAATGAATGGCAATTTATTGATCCCGAAGTGAGAGAAAACTTTGATGAACTTTTCAGTCTCTGTTGTCACTTATTGATAAATACATTTACTAGTCTAATATTTGTTTATGGGAAAATGGAATATTATGGAAAAAAACATTATTTGAAAACTTAATGTAAGAGAGGATATTTCGCTTAGGTAGCACTTATCTAATTGCTGTACTGGACTTGTAGTTCAAAAGGTAAACATTCCTAACGTTTCGTCGCTTAATTTGCTTCGATGAAGGGATGATGCTCAAAACGTCAGCTCTACGACTATTAATTCACGTCTTTTAAGCTAATAATCTTTAAGTTGGTAATTAGCTAGTTTCTTGCTTTACTTTCCCGCCGACGAAGCACAATAGTTTGTTTAGAAACCAATAGCTCTTGTTATCAGGAACTGAAGTCACAGACAGCTAAATCGTACAATTCATAAAATTTTTGTCTCTTCTAGGTTTTTTTAGTGTATCTTTATTTCTTTGCTATAGTTATGCAGACTCTCTCAGGGCAATGTATGCAGCCGTTTTTTAGTTTTTTTTTTTTTTTTTCTTAAAAGAATGCAGAACTCGACATGGTTAAAATGCAAATGACTCAAAAATTGGTGGCGGCGCAACCTAGGAGTGGAACAGCGGAGATGAGCCGATGTCAGTCGGTAAGTTACAAAAATAAGCTACTGCACAGCTGTGAATCTCATATCCACAGCGTGAACTTGTCTCTGTTGTAAGAGACGGTCTGGAAGGGCACGATGGGAGCGACTCAAAGCTGTTCGTTATAAGGTTGCTTTCGATGTTGCATGCAGCATACAGTAGGACTTGGCATCCAAAGACAACACACGACTTGTCATTAGTCGTGCGACAACGTGACATCACGAGGATTTATGAAACTGGGCTGAGAAGTTATAATGGCGTTATAAAGGACCTGAAATTCTGGAGTGGGGAATAAGCTTTCATCGATATCTAACTGAGAACTGATAAACTGCTTACTGTCACACTGAAAACTGACTAATCTTTCAGTTTTTATCTAGAACTAACCATGCATCCAAAATCCCTTTTGATTTATTCTTGCTAATGTATGCTGAACGTTGTCAGAAAGTTGTTGTTTAAGTCTGTCGTCACGTGAAAGAGCGTTTTACCTTTTCAGCTTTCCGATTTGTCATGTGGCCACGAGTCAGGTCATGAAATGACAACGAAAAAAAGAACCAACCAAGCCTGGAGTCAAAGCGGCAATGCGAAGGTCAGCAAACTCGCAAATGTTTTATTTCAATGACCTGGGCCAAAGGCAGCAAAAGAATCCGATATCTGTAAACTCGCCTTAACTCATTGGCTCCCGTGCCGTCCGTAACCGCCCTTGTAAAACGTGATGCTAGTGGAAAAAAGGCTTCCCTTCATGTTGCAAATGCTTTTTTGAGTAGATTGGAGCTAATTTGGCCCATATCCTGTCTGAAAATCTCCAAAATGTCCAAAAAATTCGTTTGTGGCAAAAAGCTCCGGGGGTCAATGGGTTAAAGTTAAATGATAACTTATAAGCACGTAACTACCGACTTCTATTATCGTGGACAAAAGTCCTTAATTGGGAGACTAATGTAATGCAGTGAATTATCTGAGTTTTCTCCTGTTAAAAGCCTGTTGCTGTTCCCCCTCCCCAGCCAATACAATGTTGAAAATCAGGAGAAATTGCATGTTCTAGATTTAGGCAGGTGTAGAGGTATCCGCGTCTGGCGTGTATGCAGGAGCGCCAAAAGTGCAAATTTGTCTGAAGACTTTTGCCCATGATTGTAGATTCACCGGCCTGACAAAATATGAAATTACGAATGAATAAAGCTTTCCGTGTGACAATATTCATTTGTTACGTTTACTTTGTTTGTTTATTTTAAAGCCAAAGAATAAAAAAGAACTACAACGAGAAGAGCGGCAGAGGGAAAAGGTAAATATTTATCTGGTTATATCACTATACGGCCTTTAGTAAGAGGATGACGTGCAATCAAGTCAAAGCAAAGAAGGAAACAGAATTTGGCATTCCGCTTATGTAGTCAGTCAAAAAAAAAAGAAAAAAGAACACTGACAAACGGAGATCTAAGTCTTTACAAAAAGCATCCAACATTTGAAAACGGATAATCATGATAATAATCGTACTTCGAGTGTGGTCGCATGCGAATCTTTGGTAGCTTGAATTGCGTCACGTTTTAGTCCAAATTTCAGACAGTTTTGGGTAATTTGTCTCAGTGTTTTGACTGCTTTGTTCCCGAGTTTTAAAGTGCTTTGTTTCCACTCGGTTGCTTTGTGCCTTACGACTTCGTTTTGGATTGCTTCGGCATTGCAAAATACATTTGCAGTGAGTCGCCGGCCCAAAGAACTGGAAAAAACATGGACCTAAGCGACGAAACTGCAAAACCCGATGTCCCGGTGCCATCCAAATACCAGCGTTCTACCGGACAAAAGAAATAATAACGACAATATAGAGGCTGCTAGTGCTCTTTTCCATCTCTTTTTTCTGTGGTATTGAAAGCCGGAGTGGATTAGCAGTAAAATTTTTTGAAGAGAATTTAAGGTACCTGTCCTCTCCAACTATCACAACGTTGTCATATATAATAAAAGGTGTTATGTATTGCTTTCAGGAACGCCAAGAGATAGCTCGTGAATTGGGAGAAAGGCGAAAGCAGGAAGAAAGTAAAAGTAAGAAGGTATGTGTTTGATAACTTGCTGTGGATGAATTAAAATAACGTTCTAAGAAATTGGTATAAATTGCTCGACCATTACAAAATTTAATAATTGTATTACTTCTTGAGCACACAACTAGCCCTACCTATTATAGTTATTTTGGGTGCCTTGCTACCGACTTCCCATTGAAAAAATTTTTATTGTAAATAAATCACACTATTCGAGGAACAATAACATTCTTGTATGGTTGTCAACAAACGTTTAAACCCCCGGATGCGGGAGGTTCTTTTTATGTGGGCTATATATAGGTATGTGTAGCTCTGAAAAGGATATAGTTTTTATGCTGTTTTGGTCTGGGAAAGGGTATAGATTTTGAATATTTTGGTCTGACAGAGGGTATGTTTTTAACTCTGGCTTGGCATTGGGTATTTTGTTCACAAGGAACTAATTTTTTTAACCATCGACATTGGCAAATTTAAAGTCCTCCTAAAATGTTCATGCCAGTAAGTGAAAGCCATTTTTGGTTAGCTGTGGTCATATATTAGAGCTGTGTACTAGTCTGAAAAAAAGTCTGAAATGGGGTACGTATTTATTTTTGCCTCCGGTCCTAGATAGGGTATGGAAAATTACAGATTTTGGTCTGAAATAGGGTGACCGTTTTGTGTACAAGTATTGGGCAGCACACCCCAGCCAAGACTTTGGGGATTAACCCCCCCCCCCACCCCCGGAGGGGGGCTTTTAACCCAGTGATGATAATTTAAGCACGTCGCCTTATGCGTCGCCTTATTGTGGATAATCTTTCATAAAGACAAAAACAAGCATCTTCACAATCCTGACTACACAACTCGAATCTTTTCACTTTCACGTAAATACAGCAAACGGCAGACGACAAACTGAAGATTCCTTATGTTCCCGGGTAATTAGAGGAACAAACGATGACATTTATTCTTCCATGCAGCTACATGTATTGCATAGCATATACGACCTGAAAAATGTAATTACATACACTTCTGATTGTCTTCTAGCAACTTACCACTTATTTTAAATACAGGTTAAAGCTCAAGCCCCGACGAGAGAAGAGCAACATGGAGCATGTGAAAAGACCAAGGGTAATAGTCTGTTTAAATGCTTACTAAACAGCTAAAAGAATACTGGTTAGCTAGCCGAGGCCTGTTACCAAACGGTTATATACTTTCTGTCCATCTGGTCGGTCGTACTATATATCGAACATTCCCTGAAAATGCGATTCCAGACCTCGATCGATGACTGCACGCTTCAACATTTTCAAAATTGTAGTTACACAAATGAGATCAACGTAAAAACTTAACAAGTCAACCAGTTCACCGATAATCGTCTCCATCTCAAACTTATCCTACCTTTTCATTCAGATTGAAAGTTTATATAATCCTGGTACCCAATTACACTTTTTTGTTTTCACAACTGAGACGCATGTAGCCAGAGCACAGACAACGATCACAAACTTTACCTCAGATAGATACTGCTCCAGGATAGGCGAGTAAGAAGGCTCCATTTGCCAAAGGAATTGAATCGTTTATGGCTTCCGGCAATTTATGATTAACAATAACGAAAAATATTTACTGGTTTTAGGAGCAGTTGCAACAGAAGACACAACGCCATCCATGGCTACACCTGCAGCTTTACCTGGCGAGCGTATGTTGGAATTCTTTTTGTGTGATCGCCTAAGCTCGAGTATTAGTGTTTGAATGACAGAAATTACAGAACCTTTGTACCACACTTAGCAGAGAGGTGGTATAGAATCCAAATGGACTTTTTGAATATTAAAGGGAAATTTTAACATGGTTTTAATTTATTTGTAGGTCCTTCTTTCCCAGAGCGATCAAGAAAACGAAAGATGAGACGGAAAACCAGAACTTTAAGGACTGCAAGGCAAGGTACACAGTTATTAAAGCCTACTGTAGTAGTTCGAAATATCTGGTTATTGTGAAAAGGAAAGCCTGCGAACGCTTTCAGGTGCTCTAGTCAGCTCAACCCTACCGGCGTGACCCGAG